CCCTTTTAATAGTACGTGTATCTATCCTAAACCCACATACCCTCTATGGTGTCTTGAGTGGCAAAACAAAAACCTATTTGATACCTTTGCCTTGATCATTATGGTTTTTGTTTTTTCTCTTTCTTCTTTTCTAAGTTGGAGCACTTGATCTTCATTTGTGGTCACCTCCATCACCATGACCATCACCTTCTAGCTCCACCATTTGGCTTGGACCGCCCTTGCTTATCTTCACACTTAGACAAAAGGGTTAGTGAAGGGTCGAGATGGTGGACTAGAGGGGGGATAAATAGTCCTTTCAAAAAAAATCGCACCGGCTAACCGAAACAAATGTGGAATTAAAACTATTGGTCTCGTGAAGACTACACCCCTCTATCTAAGTTCTCAAGCACCTTACAAAGATCCCAATTAAGCAACTAAGGTGTCAGGCTAGATAGAGCTCACCTAATCAATTCTAGTAGCAAGTCACACAAACCTATGCAACTAGTACTCAACCAACCAGGGAGCTCCTACACATGCTAGTATGCAAAACCACAAAGCTCCTAAGCTCACTAGCAATGCTCAATAACAAGGCAACACAAAGCCAAATTAGAGAGCTCAAATTACTTAGCTACACAAACTAAGCAATTTGACTAACAAGGCCACTCAAGTCAATTAGTCACACAAGAGAGCTACTTCTATGCTACACAAGTAAGAAGGTAACTAGCAAGCTACACAAACTAACTAATTACAAGAGCATCTACATAAGCACAATATATATAAAAGTAAATGCAAGCTTGTGTTGGGGAATTACAAACCAACGGGATGAACAAGGTTGACATGGTGATTTTTATCCCGAGGTTCACTTGCTTGCCACCAAGCTAGTCCCCGTTGAGACAAGCTCCAAGGTTGCCACCAGTCCTCTTGTTTGTGGTGACCTGCAAGTCACACTCTCCCATGTGGAGTGCTTACCACAAGCTCTAGCACTTTGACTCGACCGGATCACTTGTCACCCTTCGTGTCTCGCTCTACTAGAGTTGCTCTTCATGGCTCCTGCGGGGCAAGCACAACACCCCTCACAATCTTCTCTAGAGCACCCCACAAACTTCCTTGCGTGCTACGATAGAGATCACGCCACCAAGACATCTAGGAGGTGGCAACCTCCAAGAGTAACAAGCACCACCGGCTTGTAACTCGAACACCTAGTGCTGCTCGATGCAATCTCTCAATGCAATCACACTAGAATCACTCACTCACAATCGATTTGTACTCTTGCAACCACAAGTGAGTTAGAGGGCTCCCAAGCACACCTACACAAGCCACCAAGGTTCAAGGGTGCTCAGCAACCAGCCCAAGGCTGGTTAGTGCTTGGTTTTATAACCCCCAAACAAATAGAGCCGTTGTACCCCTTCACTAGGCACTTTTCATACTAACCGGACTCACCTGTTAAACTAATTGAACTCGCCTGTACCAGGGTCCGGTCACTGAGATGCAGCCACGCATCACTTGTGTTCAACCTCGGTCGCCCGATCCTAACGGTCATCTCACGAACACATGCTTGTTAAGTGATGACCAGACTCACCTATAAAACAATTGGACTCGGCCTTTATAGGGTCCCATCTCAATACAGAGAGGTCCAGAACGCCGAAAACGTGATCGAACTCGTCCTGTCGATGATGATCGGACTTGATGCCGGCTCCGGTCACCTTCTATGCGCTTCCGCTCAACTGACCGGACTCTTCCTTCTCCTGTGACCGAACTCGATTCTCCTAGAGTCCGGACACTTCCAGAGAGGTTCTAGACGGGACCAGACATGTCCTGTCACTACTGACGGAACTCTGCTAGCGTCCGGTCGCAGCGTCTTGTCGTAGAGTGTTCATCGCTAGAACGACTATAACTCTTAACTTCGAAGTCCGATTTTGATGATCTTGGATATTTTGGAAAGCTCATGCAGAGGGCTACACATCCCACATACAAATCTGATCCATAGAACAATGGATCAACAAAAAATTCCAATTGAAGAGCCATCAAATAGTTAAGAGCACACCGAAAAACCTTTTTCTCTTCTCCAAGTTGATCCAATTCAACTCCAACAACTTCTCATTTGTAAATATGCCAATACCACCAAGTGTACACCACCATATGAATGTGTTAGCATTTTCACAAATATTTTTCAAAGGATTAGCACTCTTTTCACCATGCCACTCGATCCTAGCAACATCGCAAAGTTAGATCACTCAAGTGGCACTAGATGAGCGATATGCAAACAAGTTTGCCCGTCTTGATAGTATGGCCATCTATCCTAAACTAGGTCATAAACTTCTCTACACATCTATGACCAGTAAAATGAAATGCCCTACAAATATACATTTGCCTTACGTATTCCATTCCATCTTCTTTGATGTTGATGCAACACATACACCAACCACGATCAATAAATGATATGATCTACTTCATATCATCACATGACCATATTTATTCATTGATCTTAACCTTATTTGCTTTTCACCGTTGCCTCGGTCCATCGGCGCCAAGTCCTCGACTTGCCCTTCACTCTTGCAACTGGTCCGTCAAGCCAAGCCTTGTCTCACTACTATAGATTGACCTATCACCAACACCATTATCACCTCCGGTATCATTAAAACCGTTGGTGATAGCTATCACCAATGGTTCGTAAGAACGTGCGGGTTGATAACTATCATCGCCGCTTAGTCTTACCTACCGGCGGTGATAGTCCATCATCACAACTATTTTGCACCACCAACCGGTGGTGATAATGTGCTCCTCATCGCTGCCGCCTTGCCATATGAACTAGCGGTAAAGATATTTTCACCGCCAGCTTATTGTATGATATGGCGGTGATAACCGTGCTGCAGTATAAATAAATTCATAACTTTTTTAAATAAAGTCAGATGAAAACAAACTTTATATAAAAGTTGTATACCTCGACGAGATCGATAACTTTGTAGTTGATGACTTTTTTATTTGAAACTATTTATGATCCCAGAATTCTGCTTGAAGCACTCAAATTTTGAAATTCAAAATTTTTGAATTGTACAAACGACCATAGATGGAAAAATAACCAAAACCAAAGTTGTAGATCTCGATGAGATATACAACTTTGTAGTTGATAACTATTTAATTAGAAATTATTTATATTCTCAAATTTGTATCTTAAGTTTTAAAATTTTAAAGACCAAAATTTTCAAACAACCTTGGATGAAAAAATGAGCAAAACCAAAGTTGTAGATCTTGATGAGAGCAACAAGTTTGTAGTTGAAGAGTTTTTTATTTGAAATCGTTTGAGGTCCCAAAAGTTTGGCTGAAGTTTTAACGTTTTGAAATTCAAATTTGCTAAACGACCTCGGATGGTGAAACAAACAAAATCGAAATTATAGATCTCAATTAGAACAACAAATTTGTAGTTTATGACTTCTTCATCTGAAGCCATTTAGGGTTCTAAATATTTATTTTAAATCATGAAAACTGAATAATGGAGGAATGGATATGCTATATAGACACAAATGATTTAGGAATGAGGTGGTTAGGGGAGAGTGGTTAGAGGGCCAAAGGACAAAGGTCTCAGGTTCGAATCTCAGCCTTAGCTGCATGAGAACGGGAACAAGACCCACATTCCCATTCCCAAGTTCTATGTTTCAGGAACGTCAAAGTTCCAAAATGTGAATGTTCCCGTTCCCACGTTATAAAATGATACACCAAGTTCTCGTTCCGGGAACAGGGATGGGAACGAGAACATGGCTGCTAAGATCCCAGCACCGTGTACCATAAAAAATAGCATGGAGTTGGAGATGGAGCAGCTTCCCGGTACCATGAAGCAGGAGCTAGTGGAGGGCTTCCTAGGATTGAAACAATTTTTTCTCCGTTTTTGGGAATTTTGAAAATTTAAATCACCGCCGGCTGGTAATACGAACCGACTGTGATAAGCTATTATCACCGCCAGTTACAAACCGCATGTGATGAGAATATCATCACCACCGACAACTTACTGCCGAGACTGAAAAGCACTAGTGATGGGCTTTATGAACCGCTTGTGATAGGTCTGAAGGTAGTAGTGTCTTGATCATCTCCACCTTAGTCACATGACTCCATATCATGTCTCATATCCAATGAGCTCCTTCATCACATATGTGAGCCTTGCAACATATGCAAGCCATTTCCACCTCCATGGCATATGTTGCTCACACAAGTGCCCCAGGAAAGGACGTTGCCGGCGGAGTCAACTTTGGCGAGCCCCGTGCCCCTGCTCTGTTCCATCGTCACGTCGAGCACCATCATTCCGTCACCGTCCCCTCTCCGTCTCCCTCTCTCCCTCTGCCCTATGGGCCCTAACCGAAGCGACGTTCGGGCCGTAAGTGAGAGAGCTAGAAGAGATGGCCCACGCGTCAACGAAACATGATGCTAACATCATGGCCCCACATGTCATATGCAACTCCACTCATACACTGCACAACACCAAAAATGCTACGCGCACCCGAGTAGTGTACACAGAGAGGTGAGAAACTACTTTCCTTGCATAGAAAAATTACCAAAATTTTTTAAATATGAAACTCCATAAAGCTCCTAGCATCCACGCGACGAGAGCACTCCAGCTACTGTGCGGTTACTGTTCACGAATCGGACTCCTCCACGTGCCTCGTGCGTGTCCGCGTCGTTTTGCTCTATCCCGGTTCGTTCAATGCCGCCGCCTAGGGCCTCTGGGAAAAAAACACCCCTCGCAGTGCCCCGACGCCTCCACTTCAACCTCTTCCCCTCCCCCAGCTCCCGTGGAAAGAAAAACGCCTCACCGCCTCCGCCTCCATCTCCCCACCGGCCGCCACGCCCCGGATGCCGCGCCTACCTGCCTCGCCATTGGCTTCCTCCCAATCCCCGTCCACCATCCTCGCCCGCTCCGTCGCCTTGCCTTGCCTCCTCCGCTTCCGTCCATGCTGCGTCCGTGCCTCCGCATTTCGCCTCTTCTTCGCTCCCAGCGACCGCGCTTACTCTTCCCTGGCCACGGTGCGCCGATGCCGCGCGCAACCCTGCCTGTAGCTGCGGCCGCGGACGCGGCGGCCGGCGCTGCTGGCACCTGCCTGCACCAGAACGAAGAGGCGGTGACGACCACGCCTCTCCCAGACCTACCGCAGGTCCGCATCAACAGCGCCGGGCTACTGCCAGCGCGATTCCTACACCTCCGTCCGTATTCTTCTCCTGCAGGTCTGCAACGACGCCGCTCTTCCTGGCCGGATTCCTCCGCTGCATCGTCGACTCCTTGATCTCTGCAGCCCCAGCATCGTACGTGTCCGGCGGTCATCCGGTGGGTCACTAAAAAATTCTTTTTCACAGATCCGTCCTCCCACTTTTTTTTCAGCAGATCTGTTATATTCCATGCTTGTGCTATTTGGCTATTGGCCTATTGTTCCATGCTTATGGTACTTACTGATGCCACTGAAACTGTTTCCTTAAAGCAAATCTTCTTCTTTGTTAGCAGAGATATGTCACTATGTGTACTTTCATGAGGTTCACGGGCTTCAAACAGTTATACTGGCAGGTAATTAGCATTGCTTTTTTCCCTATTGCTGGCATCCTTATCGAATATTCTACGACATAATCTATTTGCCATGTTCCAAATTTCAAATACCTGAAGGTTTCTTTATGATTCTGACCAATCAGGGTTAGCACTGTAATAGTGCCATACATGTAAGGAAAGCTTTTGCCCAATGGTTTCAGGTATTTTTAGGATATATATATCTGACATATACGAACTGAATTAAAATCTCTTTCATGTTTGTTTTTAGCCGTTTTTGTTGTTACAACAGGCCATTTAGTCATCTGATATTTTATATTTAACCTACATGCATGAACTGAGTTAAAAATATTTTTATGTTTCAATATGAAGATCTAGGCTTTTAGGAATTAATCTTTGTGCTTATTTTGTGGTCCATGACATTTGTACTATTCAGTGCTCTTTTGGGTGATGGCACTTCACAAGCATAAAAAATGTCAGAAATGTAAGCAAATACGTTGTTTTATCTTCTATCTTGCTTTGTCAGAGCTTACATATTCTTTGATGTGAGCCAAGGTTTTTACCATCCTAATACTTTACAATTTTATAGTCATGTCTGTCGGCCTTCGAACATTTATTTCAGCAGGGTGCAGCACTAGACATGTATAACTAATTTGAACAACAGAACATTACCTTATCTAAGAACACATTGTACACCTCTTATCAAGGAGGTCAAGTTTGGTTGTTTTCCCTTTTGTTCACTAAGGTAGCCAAGGGACACCTGGACCCAGCTAGCCTATATGTTTCATCTCCTGTTAAGATAATAGATGTGAGTGTTTCGTAACAAACTAATATTTCTCATGATGTAGTCACAAATGCAGATTAAATAATGAAAATATGTTCACTACTATTTGCAGCCTCAGTCCCCCCTTCTTTCCTTTCTTTTAGATCACAAAAAATGTTTATACGGTGCTACAGTATTGTTCATTCCTTCCATATGTTGTCTTTTCACAGTCCATTGGTTTTACCATTCCTAATGGCGTATCCCATATAGGACTCAGTTATGCCCAGATAAATCTGACAGCTACAACATGCTCAAATGTGCAGTCGTGCCTGTTCTTTCTTTGATCTCAGATCTTTTTGCCCAGGTTTGGTTCCACCTGCGCACATCTGTTGTTTCTTTCAGCTTTGCTTCTTGATGCTCTCTGTCCTCAGCGGTGCAGGTGGTTGTTCATTCCCTTTATTCAATTTTCTGGTTAACTACACTACACCTTTCTCAGCGAAACCATGTATAATTTCACTGGATGAATAAACTATTATGTTTTTGGAGAACATATGATGTTCGGCTGTTCGGTGTTCGCTGGATGAATATAGCAGCTTATGCTTTGCCTTTTGGCTTCTACTGATGAAATGTAGCTAAGCCACACTGTCGATTAGGTGAATTAAATTTTTGGGTTCATCCAGGGGATTGCCGTTTACTTTCGTGGTTATTTCTCTCTAATCCTAACCATACAGACAATTGATTGATTGATTTTTTTTAATATGCATGTTAAAAATGACAGTTGATAACCCTGCTCTGATTAGATGGTATTTGTTTGATATTTGTTGACAGAGACTTACAGTTTTGGCTTAGAATTAAGAAACACAAAGCATGATAAATACACATGTATACATGTATACTCCCTTCCTTTCTGTTTACACACACATGTGCATGCCTGTGATTGTTTTCATAGCACAGCCTAGCTGCTACTCTTTTGCTTTCATGCCTATAGTAATATCCTACAGGCTCAAAGCACTTGGTGTTCTTTTTGCAGTTGAGTTCTGAACGACTGAGTTATGTCCCTGGAATTAATCTGCGGGTGGTTCAGCTGGCATAGAGACCTGTAGTCTTCCGTCGCCTCCTATTATCTAAAGCGAGCAGAAGAATGAAGCCAAAACTTTCGGGCTTTTCAAAAGGAGACATGCTATTTCTTCTTAGATGAAAACAAAAGTGAAGTGTGCCGTTACTGTTTGCTTATGACAGAACATAACCTTAGGTGTGCACCATGTTGAGGTGTCAAAACACCAACCTTTTGTGTATGTATACTTATTTCAGTATAATATTTAGTGAGCCTTCTGCCGTGTTTCTAATCTCACGCCGCATGAAATCTTCTAAGCAGTGCCTAATTTTGTCTAAATTTTTGGTGTTTTAGATGTAGGCTTCACAGATACTTTGGAATTGTTAGTTTCAGACCCAGTCACCGAACACAGACAAAACAAGAAAAGAGGTTTTCAGCGTGTCATTACCCGTGCTCAGCCTATGCGGGCGCGGCGAAGCGCGCTGCCGTCCTAGTAAATTAGAGACACCCTAGTGCCTACCCAAGCTTTTGTCACTTCTTTTCCATCACTCTAAATTCCAAAATTATTTTCCAAAATATCTTCCATCCATCTTTTTCTAATAAATCCTAGAAAATCTATATCACCTGCATCCCCAAATCCAAATCCTTTGATTCTTCCACTAAAAATCTTCTAAAATCAAACCCTACAGACCCATATCCTTTTTTATAAATTTGGTGCCCATTTAAATTCTACTCCCTCCGTTCTAAATTATAAGTTACTTTGACTTTTTTTACATAGAATTTTCTATGTATCTAGACATATATTATATCTAGATATATAGCAAAATAGATGTAATTTGGGACCGAAGGAGTAGTTTGTTTGCTTTTCATTTCTTTTATTTATACTAACCATAGTTTCAATCATGGGTCTTTTACTTGTATGCCATTAAAAAAGATGCTCTAATCGTCTATGTTCTAAAAAGTTCGATCTATCGTCAGTGTCAAGCTCGAAAAACTTTTCTCTCTCATACCATTCTGTCTATTTACAACACCGACGGTGTAAAATATTGGTGGCAAAGGACTTGAATGCCCCCCTCAAACTTTTGTTTCTCATGTGCCACTGAGTATTACGACAACGTACCAAACAAGTCTTTTCTTAGTTTATTTGCTCCACGAGCCACATAAAATATCAAGGACCAATTTAATGCCATCACACGTGTTGTCCAGAGCGTCATCCCGCGGGAGGCGCCGCGGGACGTCACCCTGGAAGCCAGCACGGGCGCCTCGCCGCGCAGCTGCGTCCTCTCCGTGGCAACGTCCGACCTGACCTTCACCCTGCACGCCTCGCCGTTCCGCTTCACCGTGTCCCGCCGCTCCAGCGGCGACGTCCTCTTCGACACCTCCGCGGCACTGGTGTTCAAGAACAGGTACCTGGAGCTGACCACGGCGCTGCCAGCGGACCGGGCGTCGCTGTACGGGCTGGGCGAGCACACGAAGCGCACGTTCCGGCTGCAGCGCAACGACACCTTCACGCTCTGGAACACCGACATCGCCGCCTCCAACGTGGACCTCAACCTCTACGGCTCCCACCCGTTCTACCTCGACGTGCGCCCCGCCGCCGGCGCCGCGCACGGCGTGCTCCTGCTCAACAGCAACGGCATGGACGTCGAGTACGGCGGCTCGTACCTCACCTACAAGGTCATCGGCGGCGTGCTCGACTTCTACTTCTTCGCCGGCCCCGCCCCGCTCGACGTCGTCGACCAGTACACCCAGCTCATCGGCTGCCCGGCTCCCATGCCGTACTGGTCATTTGGTACGGCCAGCTGCCAACCAGTTGTTGCTTTGCTTCCATGGATGGATTCACTCTGTTCTTGCAGCTGATCGAGCATTTGCAATGGCGATCCGTTCCGGTTCGTTGAGGGTTCCACCAGTGCAGGTACGGGTACAAGAACCTGGCTGACCTGGAGGGCGTGGTGGCCGGGTACGCCAAGGCCAGGATCCCGCTGGAGGTGATGTGGACGGACATCGACTACATGGACGCGTTCAAGGACTTCACGCTGGATCTGGTGAACTTCCCGGCTGGCCCCATGCGGTAGTTCGTCGACCGCCTTCACCGGAACGGGCAGAAATACGTCGTCGCCGCAAGGTGCTTTCTTTTTCGGTAAAACTACAGCTCGAGTGATTTTAGGACTCCGGTCACTCGATTCCTCGAGTGACTTTTTGGCTTTTTTGAACGTATGTATGTTTTATTTGGTTCGCCTTTGAAATTTTCCAATTTGGCTTCTATAGAAATGATCTGGTTATTTTTCTGATTTTTTATTTGTTGTTTGTATGTTTTATTTGCTTTTTCTTTGAATTTCTTCCAATTAGCACTTCATAGTAATTATCTGGTATTTTTTGCTATTTTATTATTTAATTTTTGTATTTATTTGATATATTTTATTTGTATCGTTAGATCTGGATCCAGCGATTATAGATATCGGGTGATGGTTGAGATGTGAACACTTGATTGTGTTTGTTTGTTGGAATCGAGTGATTTTAAGGAATGTGACACTCAGGTGTCACCTTTCCCTAAAACACTCGAATGTCCGGTAGATACTCCCTTCTTTTTTTAGCAAACATATGAGCAAGGTGCTGTCTGCTGCTAGAAGCTCTCTCACAATTTAAAACTTAACCAGTGCAACACAAACACAAATGCAATACTCCGCCGAACTGTAACAAGACCATTTTTTTAATATGATCTTCTAACATCTTGTACTACGTTGTCAAAAGCATCTTGCAGAATGCAACAATTCACAAGGTGGGAACATATATAGCAATGCGAATTTGTTGCAATCCGATGTGGGGACTTGTCTGTTTCACCTTGTGATGGTAGGTTAGAATCTACAAAATCCCTAGCTGAAACACGTGTGATGGCATTAAATTGGTCCTTGATATTTAATTCTGTGGCTCGTGGAGCAAATAAACTACAAAATGACTTGTTTGGTACGTTGTCGTAATCACCCAGTCATCTATCACGCAGTGGCACGTAAGAAACAAAAGTTCCAGGGGCATTCAAGTCCTTTGCCACCCACATTTCACACCATCAGTGCTGCAAATAGACAGAATGGCGTGAGAGAGAAAAGTTTTTCGAGCTTGAACACTGACGATAGATCAAACTTTTTAGGGACATAGACGATTAGACCATCTTTTTTAATGGCATACAAGTAAAAGACCCTTCAATCATTCACTAGCAACTCTTGGCTCCATATATTCGTGTATATGTGTGCAAGTACTAGAATATACACACATAGAATAATAGGTAGCCCACATGCATACGCATTTGTACATATAAACACGATATATGTACAAATATACCAAGAGTCATACATATGCATAACTAACCACGCACCGCCCTCCGTCCTAGTATAGCCTATTACTAATCCACACTGAATTTCTGCATAATTCTTAATGCTGCAAGTTATTGTATTATCAACAGGTTGTGTATGGGATGCTGAAACATCAAGCCCTAATTGCTAAGTTTGTCAATAAGATACGTGTAAGAAACTATTCTTAAGTAAAAGTCTATATGCATTTTTTTATTTATACTGATTTATTTTTTCCCTGAAATTATAGAATACTGTGACATTTGTATTGAACGGCGATAATTATGTTGTGTGGGAGCAGTACATATTGGTAATGACACATCGGATTTTGGTTTGTGTAGTGAGCATCAATCTGCGTCCAGTTCTTGGTTATGGAGATTCACAAGAAAGACACAAAGGGCGCGTTTAGTTCGGCAAACTTTGGAGGTGCAAACTTTGCACAGTAAAAGATTCCCCACTGTAGTATTTTGTTTGTATTTGTGAATTATTGTCCAAACATTGATTAATTAGGCTCAAAAGATTCGTCTCGTAAAGTTAAAGCAAACTGTGCAATTAGTTTTTGATTTCGTCTACATTTAGTACTCCATGCATGTACCGCAAGTTTGATGTGACGGGAAATCTTCTTTTTGCATAGTGCACTTTTGGAGAACTAAACAAGGACAAACTTTGATTAGTTCATCTGTGGACCTAAAGAGCAAATCCTAGAAGGGAAAACTAGAGAGTGGAAATGAAAATGCTCAAGAGGTGAGGCTGAGTGGAGGCAGCCCCATCTTATTTATAGGCCTATTACACAATTTCACTAGTGCCCCTAGATATTTTACGGTAAACCACCTAGCCTGAGGGCATTATAGTCGAACCCGATTTCTATCGATCGGACGGCCACGCTCCCGCACAGGTTTGCTTCGTCTTGACACAACCTCTATGATTCCGCAACGTGCTGCCCTGTTCCTCCTCGGAACCTCCTCCTAGGTTTTGAGGCCCAAACTCCGCGAGTAGCATACTCCATACGTGTCCCCCGTAACTCGACGCATGTCACTTCCATCCTTGACCGTCCGGCCATCAAGTCTTCTAGAGCCTCCGCTCGACTTGCTCGACTGTCGTCTTAACTCGGTCAACACGGTCACTCCATGTACACTTGCGCTTGTCAATGTCCCTAAGTGTCAGCCTCCGCGGCTGGTCACCCGGCCTCCTGGTCCCTCAGTCCAAGCCTCATGTTCGTCCTTCATCGCTCCCGGTCTATTGGCACGGCACGTCCCTACTTGACCTTCACCTTGTCGTCGACCATCACCTCTGAGCTCCACACTTGCGCACCACAAGCCAAGAGACATGTTGCACAACCCAACTCACGCCATGGTTAGTTCACAAACTCAACCCAAAACGCGAATCACGTTGACAATCACTCATCATAAATCCGAACCACAAGGGCACATATCAACCTTGTGTTCGCACACTTGAGGTGCAATGTCTTCCACTCGCTGATCATCAATCCATCTATCAGGCCAAAAAAGAGTCCCTGCACAATTTCTAACATGAGAGATAATTGCAATAGAGAAGAAACCTGATTATTTTTATGAACATGAATATGCAAAACACCCCAAGGCCGTATAGGATCCACCTTTTGAAGCCACAACCACCTTGACCTAAGAGCCTAGCTAAGAGTCTGCAGATTGGAGATACCAAGCTCTCCAAGCTCTATAGGGAGGCACACCTTCGGCCAAGCCACTAAGCAATGACCGCCTTTCGCATCCTTTCTTCCTCGCCACAGGAAACTTCTAATTTTGTCAATATCCTTGATAGCCCATTGAGGGAGATCGATAGCCATGGCAAGATAAACTATCATGGAAGTGAGCACATGTTGGCTATGAAGTTTTTCTGCTTCCAAACGAGCATGGTGGTGGAAAAGCGCTGGTTGGCCATGACACACCCTTTGCTGTTCTTGCACAGCACAGACCAAATGGCAGGTTAGGATGTCTAACAGCCCACTCAATGGACATTAGGGACTTGCACGCGCAGAGTCCCGGGACCTATCGGATGCAGATGTGCTAGACTGCTAGTGTAAGGATGCGTCGTGCACATTACTCTTCTGCAAATATAATCAGGCAAGATATTTCTGGACCCTTGCTATTTTATAATAACGTGGTAAAGATAGGTGGGGTCTTGGAAAGCGAATCTCTAGGCAGCCTTGCCCTTCTTAGTTTGCAAAAGGACGGTGGTTCGAACCCAGCATTTCACAAGTGGAACTCTACCAGCGCTGTAGATGTCCAACGGGCCGGCACGGGCCCGTGCCAGGCACGGCCCGATGGGGGTCGGGCAGGCATGGCACGTCGTGCCTCCCAGGCCGTGCCTAGGTGGGCATCGTGCCTGACCTACGGCCCAGGCACGGCCTGCTGGGCCGTTTTTTGGCCCGGGCCAGCCCGAGAAGCACGGCACCTGTAGCAGGCCGGGCTAGCCTGTAGCCCACAAAAGCAGTCACGCCCTGGATTTGGCGGGTGTCGCACCGCCGCCACGCCGGATGAAGTGGGGAAGGAGGTGGACGGGGTGCGCTAAGGAGTCGCATGGGAAGAGGAGGGCGACGTCGCTGTAGGGCTGGAGTCCAGACTCCTCGCGCGGCGGCGTCGCGGCGGGGCAGATCCGTCGGAGGTCGACAGAGGCGGCGTCGCGAGCTGGAGGGAGCGGGGAAGAAGGAGCGGCCTGCGCTAAGGAAGTGAGGAGTCGCAGGGAAAGGGATGAGTCGCGCGAGGGAGCCAGGGAGGCGGCGTGCACTGAGCAGTAGCGGGGAAGGGAGGAGTCGCGCGGAGCACGAGTCCGGGGCGGACGCGGAAGCAGACGTCGGATAAGTTTAGGTTAGAAACATATATACGTATAATTTTTGATTGAGTAGCGGGACTTGTCAGGCCTAATTCATTTTAGTGAGCCGTGCCATGCCGCCCATCGTGCCAGAACAGCGGCCTAGGCACGGCCCTGTATGTCGTGACGTGCCGTGCTATGCTCGGGCCGGGCCAAAAAACCATGTTTCGTGCCGGGCTATCGGGCTGCGGGCTGCATGGCCATCTATAACCAGCGCACTGTCCACTATCCTTATGATAATTTAGTACTACAATTTTTTTTTTTGTATACATGCATAAATAGCATGAATAATCCCCGCACAACATTCATCTTAGCATTTTAGGTACATCGGAGAATATCGTTTTATCTTATTTACATTATTGAAATTGGAATTTAACTTCTGCTCCTACCAAGTTTGAGTTTTTGCTCCACCATTCTGATCAGAGAATCAACCATTATCTTAGTTCTGGTAGTTATTTAGTTGGTTAGTATTGGTATTAGGTTAGTTAAAGAGTCGTAATCGGCTGTCTATTCGCACATCTTGTATAAAGGTGGACTAGTGATAGTCTTTGCATGGAGTATCAACCAATATATTAAAGAAAAGGGCTTTGCCCACATCTATTAGAGCAACCCTATTGTTGACAGGAGAAGCCCTTGATCAATATGACCAGAGCCTCTTGTTGCACATTTGAATCTATCTTATCTCCTATGTTACCCTCTATATAATAGCCAGTATCTTACCTGAGTTGATTTCATGGATTTAGTTTTGCAAATGCATGAGAATAGGATGTTTTATACCGATCTAGGTCATATATGGATATGTTATGCATGTGACTGGTGCCATAGTTCTATATGGTTGTTGATATGTTCAAATTTAGTATGTGGAGGATATGTTATGCATGTGA